GGTAGTACTAAATATGATTATTTTGATTTCACATTAATAAGCATGCTGAAGAATGATGACCTAGTTTCCTCCGTATACAGCAAGCTATTTGCTAATAGTTATGTTTATTATAATACTATTAATATACACTATAAAGTTCAATGTAAACAAAACTTTATTCTATGCACTGAACGGTGAACATGAAGAGTACTTCTACCTTTACTTAAGAAGGATTTTCTGTATGAATGTTGCAGAGCAGCACATGAGGCAGGTGCAGCTACGGCAATTATAAATATTGGTACTACCAGGGCTGATGATATTGTGCCCTTGAAGATTAGTGCTCGATGTGGTGAGGTATGCCTTTTTTATAATTACATACTTTTATGGAAGAGGTATGATGCTATTGCTTCCAGTGAGACCTGGTGAAAGTTTTGAAATTGCCTCAGCCTGAAATGATTTGACCCAAAACCAAAATTACATAACTCAATTTGACCTGATCCAACCTGAAAATTAAAATGGCTAAATATGGTTGGTTTTTCATAAGTAAATTGACAATAGATTTGAATATGACCTGATTAAGATTTAGCTCAAACCTGAACCAAACCTGATCTAATTGGCTAGCTTATGTATTGTCCTTGCTGTTTTGAAGTATAGAATGTTTTCCATTGATGTATTCGTTGACATTGCAGATACTTCCGAGATTGCTGCATACTGGATCTCTGAGTATTCCGGCTGTTCAATCATGACACCTAAGTGACTCAGGTTGAACGTTTTGGATTTTCATTTTCAGTGAACAGGTAATCATAAGTTTTTCTTTTACTTTGTAATGAACTTTGCAAATTTACTAAAAAATTTCAAAAATTTTGTTTGCACACTGCAATATACATTTTTTATTTCCTTTTTCAGCGGCTGTTGCAGAAGTGGTAGACTGTATGTCTGTATCCATTGGCTTACATTTTGTTAATATCCCATGAATCTGCAAGTGCATGGTAGACGTTGAAATACGGTATTCTTGCGAATTGAGGGTTTGCTTCCCAAGCTTTCACTGCGCGCAATGGAGAAATTCTGAGATAAATTAAAATTGTTTAGTGATGTTGCCCATGATATTAGTATTAGTGTATTATGATCAACAAACTTGGATCCATGTTACAAATATGAACATTCATGTGGTAGTAATTTAGTCTAGGCCTCTAGGGGTAAACTTTGTAAACTCAATGAAATTCATTGAAATTACTTCGTATTTTGTATGAATTAAGAAGTCCATTTTTCTTTGTAAAATTAAGGATCTATAGACGGGAATGTAAGTTTTATGTTAATTGACAATATTGTATTAAAAACATCTCAAGTAGTTACATTTCTAAATCAATGGTGAACATTGCCTCAAAATATCCTCGTCACTTTTTCTCACTGTTTTGTTTTTGAAGTTTACACTATATACTGATACGTATTTGACTATTTGGTCATGTCCTTGATCTACACGTTATACTATTTCTTGTTTGATATGGATGTTGTAAATAGTTTCAAATTTTTGTTTATCTATGAAGTAGGCTCTCATGCCATTGTTGCACTTTTAGGCCATGTTCTTTAAAGCTGCTCTGTTCTTGCTCTGCCCTGTCCTGCTTTAAAATAATAATTAATATTGAATTATTATAACAATAATTAATATTTAATAATAATAGTAATAAAAATAGTAATAATAATAATAATAATAATAGTAATGATAATAGTAATAATAATAATAATAATAATTATTATTAATAATAATAATAATAATAATAATAATAGATTTTTTATAATAAAAATTAATATTTTAAAGATAATAACTAATATTTAAAGATAATAATTATTAATTTTAAATAATAATAAATATAATTAATATTTAATAATAATAATAATAATAATAATAATAATAATAATGACATTTGCTCTGCTATGCTGCAATCTACTCTGCTGACTCTTGCTTTGCCCAGAAGCTCAAAAGGACAGGGCCTTATACTCGGATACTCCTAAACCTAACCTAAAAAGAACTACTGTATTAAACACTCAAGTCACTTCTCAAGATCGTGAGGTTTATCTCTTTTCCAGAAATATAGATTTCCAAGTTCCAACCCGGAAAAAAATAGCGAGAAAAGATTTCTTTCAGCACAAAATATTCAATTATGGAAACAAAAGACCTCAATTTTAGCAGTAAAATTAATCACCTTATTTTGCTATTTTCCTAAACCAACCTAAAAAGAACTACTGTATTAAACCAACACACTATATAAATCTATTCCATCATAATAATTTAACTACAACAATCAAAAGAAAAAAAATACACAAAAACAAAAAATACAAGTATAAAGGTTCAATCTTTAATAGATCGGAGATATGGAAGAGGTGAAATCATTAGGGTTGATTTATGACGTATTACAAGATGAATGGGTGTTAGACTTAATGACATCTTTTTCTTCTACTAATGTAAGCACCCCAAGTAATAATAGTTCCAATGCTCCTAGTACGCCCACTAGATATGAGTCGTGCCACGATGACCCACCCGTCTCATCATCATCATCACCATTGCCATCACCATTACAATCGTCGTTACCATGTAGTAACAAAAATAATTGCTTTAGTAAGAGTAAGAAATCATCTACAAGGAAAGGTCGATCATCATTGTCAATGTCATCATCGTCGTCTAAGGTGCCCTGCTTAGTTCACTTGGCAATGTGTCACGGTCATGGCAAATTGTGGCACGCGGTTAAGTCTAGTTGTATGGGATGTTTTAAGGCTAATAACAAGAAACAAAGCAAGTGTAAAGGAGTTTGTAGTGATATTAATATTTCTCGAGTTTTAGTTCATAAGAGGAAAGGAAGTGATGAAATTAGAGAGGAAGATTTGAAAGAGGCTATTGATTTTTGTAAGAGATCTGCTGCTTTTAGTTGATTGAATAGAGCTAACTGATTAGGTTTTATAATTTTTGTGTTTAGAGATAATAATGTAAGTGCTTTTTGTATCTTTTGTACTTTGTTTATTTAAATTAGTATTAATTTTAATTGAAGTTGTTATTATTGTGTCAACTATATTTGGATGAGCCGGATGACACCATCGAAAACGTTGGTTCGGAGGTGAGAATTAGTTTCAATCGGTCAATATGAATCAAATAGTGGGTTAATTCAATTTTCAAATTGGATGATTGATTTCAATTTTGAGTTGACGATTGAATGCTTGTAGAGGCCTAGAAATATTAGGGTTTCCATCCACCTAACAAGTTAAGAGATGTTTACAAGTGATATGTCAAATAACAACTCGATCCCAATTAGTAGTCATAAATCATAATACATATAATCATCCATAGTCAAAACCATAAAAATGTTGTTTGATTCAAATTAAACCATGGTAAATCCAACAATAGTAAGACTTTTTTTAAGAAAAAAAAAAATTAAGTTTAGTGCTTATAAAAGGTCATTTAAGTCAACAAAAATAAATTTCATATGAAAATCAAGCTAATTGCAATTGTTTTGGGTGGATTTTTGACAAGTCTAATAATATGGACTCTGAATCTACATTCATAACAATAACTAATTTAAACTAAGGCTCAAAAATCTTTAAAACATATCATTTTAAAATCAAAAGTCTATCCTTTTCCATAACTCTAGCTTTACCAATCCGGAAAATATATAGTAACAAAAATATTTAAACATATACTTATTTCAAATTTAAATTTAAATTGAATGGAAACTATTAGCCTGAATTTAAGCAGTAAAAATAGAAGAGCAAGAATTTTCTCCTTTTATAAATTGATCAATTCATATAGCTAGAAACTTGTTTGGAAGGGATACAGAAAATGTTTCACCTAAAAAAATATACATCATTAGGGTTAAGGTAAGATGTATTATGTGATGCATCTAGGTTATCCTTCTACTAAGAGAGCAAGTAAATGCTCCAATACTACATTGTCTACATCCACTACGACTTCTAGTGATTACGATTCACCTATGTCATTACGATCATCATTGTCGTCGTTATCATCGCCATCATCATTGACATTCTCATCGCCACCAAGCAATAACAATTGCTCTAGCAAATGTAAGAAATCATCATTGACATCGAGTAATACTTGTATGATGCCCAATTTAATTCACTTGGTAAGGTGTCGTGTTGGTTTATGGCACGAGGTTAAGTCTAGGTACAAGAACAATAACTAGTCTAAAGAATTAAGGTGGTACGTTAGTTCATAAGAGAACTAGTAGTGATGAAGTTATCAGGGAGAAGGATTTGAAAGAGGCTATTACTCTTTGTAAAAATTCTGCTTCTACTAATTGATTAGTTTAGAGGTTTAACTATTTTAATTTGGTGTCTAGTTGATACATTAATGTCTAGTAAAGTATTTCGTTTTTCATATGATGGAGGGAAATTGACATTTCTCAAATTTATTTCATGAGTGCTTATATATATATATATATATATATATATATATATATATATATATATATATATATATATATATATATATATATATATATATATATATATTCAAGGAAGTGTAACTTGCAAATAAATTATTCTCATGTCACTCATGTCAACATGAAATTCATTTTTGTAAAAACACATGTTTGGTGATTTGGCATTTAGAAACACAAAAAGTACTTCAAGAAGGAATTGATGTCTTGCCACAAACCTAAGCAAAGTAACGAGGCATCTCACACTCCGAGCATTAAGGCACGCACAAACTTGGAGTGCATGCTTGGATAACATTATAAAGTAATGTATTCTTCTGTAAAAGTTATACAAGTATATACAATAAATTAAAACGGGAAGAAGTCACCTTGATATCACAATAAATTATTATAAGTCTGTCTCATACAAGATTTTGCCATATTGTTTGGAAATTTCTTTTAAGTCCATTCAATTTTATGTAGAATATTTGTTAGTTTACATCATACGTATAAGGATATTTAAACAATAATCGGTACAGTCTAGCTAGCTACGAGTATAATATAAGTACATACTCATAAAGTGTACGAACATGAAGCTCATGTTTTTGCTAGGATAAGCCTCAATACTTTAGGAAATGAGGCTTTTCATAGCAAAAAGAGAAGATACATAATTAAGCTCAACAAGTAACCATATCTCAATACATATCTATAAATAAGCTCCAAAGGTTTGTTTTTTCTTATTAAGTTCACCATAAATCTTCTTCAATGGCAAGCACATTATTGACATGCTCTGCTGCTTCAACCCTCGTGTCGAACCGGGCCTCATCCAGTCCATTACCAAATGGGTTGGGCCCCCGTTCGACAGCACCATCACTAATTATTAAGACCCCTTCTTCAAGACCTTCTATGGTGGTTAGAGCCCAACAAGCAGGAAGTGGAACACCGAGGAGAATTGAGCCAATCTCATCTGAACAACAAATCCCAAAAAAGGTTGCCCTACTAGAAACTTCTCCTTATGGTAAATATTCCACTCCTTCAACTGCTTTGCTATCTTACACAGGTGATGAGGATTCTTTTTCTCCTTAATATGAAGTACATTACTCGTTCCATCTCTTATGGATGTACCATGATAATAAGTCACTTTCTAAATTTGGTAAGTTCAACGTTTAGCTATGTTTTCACATACGTGTTATTTTCTTTATAATATATCAATTACACTCAGTTTTTCTTCTAAAGTGATACAAGTAATTAAAAATTTAAGAAAAAAAAATGTACCTCAAATTAAAGGTGTAAGGTGTTATATTATTGGATACCATGAAAATTTTCTCTTGGTATAAAATAAAATAGAACCCAATCGCTTCATTTCCACCACACACTTAATTTATAAAATAGACTATAAGCATACTTTATCTATCTCGAAATAAGAGTCACATATACTAATTAGTCACCTTTGATTTCCTGAAATTTAAAAAGAGAAGGACAATATTAGATATTCAAACATAACCCTACTGAAAAAACTGTAACTTGTTTTGCAGTGCGCACTCCATGGAATACTAGTGAGGACGAGCATGAGATCAAGATGTGGTTTGACATGCCAGGACTAGCTGGTGAAAACATAGAAGTGGAGGTTGTGGATGACTTGCTTTACATCAAAGGAGATGGGGGTGTAGACGCATTTGGTAACAAGATCTTGAGTCCTTTCGATAGTAGGGTTCAACTTCCTCATAACTCTTGGAAGGAAGAGATTACGGCCGTGTTTAAGAATGGTGTCCTCTACATAACTGTGCCTAAGATCACCAAATTCGAGCACAAAGTTATTCATGTTCCTGTTAGATCCATTTCATAACTATAATCATTTGCTAGTGAAATTGGTCTTCTGAACTTTATGGATTGCTTCATACATAAGAAATATGCTTTGAATAAATGTGTAAAAGAGAAGCTCAAGTCATATGTTAAAATTGTATGTACTAAAGTTATATAAATTGGTTGCTTGTTGGAGCTACCTATACTAATAATAAATAAAATTATACAAATGATCGATATTATGTGGTTGTGAAAATTATTTTCATTCATCATTATTCTGCTGGTTAATCATGGTGCTTAAATTGCTTGCTAATAACAGTGTATAAATGTTTTCCAATCAACAAGGACTTTTACTTGCATATTTTCAATGTGATCGTTATCCTCCCTCTTAGGCTCTTTATTCTCCTTACCTACTTACGTCCACTTATTATAATTTCAGGTTTGATTGTAAGAAGGTAAGTGAACATAATTTTATATATAAGTTCTAGTTAAATAAATTTAGGGTTAATAATAAGTTTAAACTTTGATATATTCTCATTTCTCAACACGACAATACCTTATGTTTAGATAGGATAAGTTCAATAAGTGACATGAAATCAACATTTGGAAAGCATAACAGCAATTTTCCTTTCCACGTAAGAGTATTAAGAAATATTTACAAGTTAGGAAATAATTAGAATGTACTTAAAGCATATAGGATTATACAGTGTATACTATGTAAAAGCCAAAAGCTAAAAATAAAGCCAAAATTATACTTCGTATTACAGTACTAATAGGAAGTATACTACTATAAAATGGAATTTTATTAACTTTGGATAGAGATATACACATGGCTCAATCCATTTATCACCGACGCATCCTACTTTAGCTCATGACAAGCTTACAGATCCATGTATTGTGTGTAGAATATACATCATACATTACTGCGTTCAAAGTTTATGCTAATTAAGTACATTAGGGTTCGTATGTTTTTTTCACTTAAGCTCACTTTACACGAGATTATTGACCTTAAAGTTAACTTATATTCTAAAGTTGGCTTATCTTATCTTCACTTAATAGTCCTGAATTTAACTAACTTGACTTATCTAGCGAACCTTATCGTTTTTTTTTTTTAGAGAGTCACAAGGGTGAATTATGAAAATCGATCCCATGATCGATCGTCTGGAACCAGGAGGGGAGCTCTAATCACTTGAGCTATCCCTCACTCTCAAGTCGGACTAATCTCTGCATGAATTTATTGTTCAATTTGCATTATTAGGGCACCCTCAATATCATTTTAGCGTGCTATACGTGAAACGCCACTTAGCTTCTAGAGCAATTAGAGGTTTTCAGAATGAAGGAACAATTACTATTAAAGAGTAGGAATTGTTAGTATTTGATCTACATATTAAATTATTGTAATTTGTAATCATGATTTATGATGTAAAATATAAATATTGGATATATATATCTAGCTTTAGATGTACCCTACAACTAAATTGCCTAAATATAGATTCTCACGTAAAATTAAATAATTTGTGTTCAATCATCAAAGAGGAGAAATTCCATTCTCCATAATTACTCCATTAATTTCTCAAACACATTGACAAACAAATCTCAGCTTCCTAGATTTGGACAATACAAACTGTAAAGAACTCTTTAAAGTGCTTCGTAAATAGATAGGACGACACTTATAACATGTTATAATAGTAGTATATAAAATGTACTCTACATCTTTTTTCTAGCAGAAGCTGCATTACTACTTTACTTTAAATGTTTTAATTTCAATTTTTATTTAGGAAATATACTTTGCTTTTATTTGAGTATATAGAGATCGAATATATATCAATATGATGAAATAATGAGGCTTCCCCTACAAAAAAGAGTTAAAGACTTAAAACTCAACCGTTTTATAATTAATATATCTCCCCATATAACTATAAATAAGCTAATAATTAGTGAACAAACATACAACTTGCAGTTACATTTATTTACATTGTTTTAGTGAGCTACCTAAATATATCCTGATTATAGTCTTAGTAAGCTCTTACTAACTTATCTTCAATGGCAAGCAACACATTGACATGCTCTGGTGCTGCCACTATGGTGTCAAATCACACGGTCTCCAGCCGCAGCCCGGCCCTAGCTGGTTTCGGCCAACGTGCCGGGGTGTCCCTAACACCATCATTGAAGACCCCTTCAATGGTGGTGAGAGCCCAACAAGGAGGAAGTCCTAAGAAAATGGATCCAATGTCACCAGACCATTTCCACAAAAAGGTTGCCCTCCTTGAGACCTCTCCTTATGGTAAGTATCCCACTCCTTCAACTGCTTTTTGAAGTTTTTCTTAATTATTTCTTATACTTGCATGAAAAAAAAGGTTGCTTTTTCTTTTTTACCACAGTGGGTAAGTTATTCTTGTGTGAATCTTTCTATATTTAACTAGTTACATTTTTTTTACCAACTTTGACAACATAATTGTATGTACATAGTAACATAGGAGTTATTTAGTTGATTTTATTTCTCACATGTGACTTGTCTATATATATATAAAAAAGGGGTTCGGTTCATATAGTTGTATTATGTTACTCTATACTAGCTAATAAGCTAGGTACGGATCAATCTATTTTTGTAGTCCAATTATTTAAAAAAAAGGCGGGGGGACTTGTCTATATATAATTTAGGTTAAATTATACCATAAGATTACGATAATAAGTTAAGACTATAAATCCAAGGCTCCGATTAAATTTGTGTTTTTTTTTTTTTTTTTTTTTTGTTTTTTTTGTAGTGCGTACCCCTTGGAATACGAATGAGGATGAGCACGAAATCCGGATGTGGTTTGACATGCCAGGACTATCAGCTGAAAACATCGATGTAAATGTTGTTGACGACTTGCTTGTGATCAAGGGAGACGGTGGAGTTGATGCATTTGGAAACAAGATATTTAGTCCTTATGATAGCAGGGTTCAACTCCCCCTTAACTCTTGGAAGGAAGAGATCACGGCCGTGTTTAAGAATGGTGTTCTCTATATTACTGTGCCTAAGATCACCAAATTTGAGCACAAAATTATTCATGTTCCTGTTAGATCCGTTTAATTAATTTTCTCACAAGTTATTGCATATTTATGAATTAAATGTCTTCAATACTCTATATGGGAGACTAGGTTTTGTGTGTGTTTAAAAAACTTGTATTTGAATAATTACTGTATGATAGAGAGCTCTCTACATACTTCTTTGCTTGAATATTTCAAGTTGTATGACTTTGTTGCTTAATTAATACTATCTTTGTTTTTTTTAGTTAACGTCATTTGACTTTAACACTATTCACGAACTACACTTTGACTAACTTTTGTGATTTATAGCTACGCGATAGAATATAGTCAAGTAGAATCTTGTTTAAATCATCTCAATATATATTTTATTAATAATTACTTTTTATAATTTTACAATGTCGAGAATCAGATATATTAATCGTTAAAATAATGCGTTGGCAAGCGTGATAATAGAAAGGGGTCAACTAAATAAAAACGGAGGAGGTATCTTATGACATAATACCTCCTCCGTTTTTCTTTTATTGCACCATAAGGACTTTTACACTATTCACTTAATTTCTTTGACCATTATTTGTGATTTATCCATTAGGAAAAATATCAAATTAATATGGGATCTAATTAGACTCGTCTCGAAATCTACTTTTCAAATATTAAATTTTTTATAATTTTTACAAAAGTATAATCGAAGATATTAATAGCTAAAGTAATGCATTGGCAAACGTAAAATCCCTCACGGTGCAATAAAAAAAGAGGAAGTATAAGATATGTTTTTAACTTATTACATACGAGTACTAATTAAGGGAATGCGCTACACACGATCTTGAAAGGGGTCAGAATTGACAAAAAATGCTCGCAAGTGTCTTGTTTTGCATATTTCACACAAATCGAGGTATTTTTTAGAAGGCAAAAAGAGGCATTTTGTGATAAATTTTTGTCAATTCTGACCTCAAATTGGAACCTAAGGAATAAAATAACCCCCAAAACCATTAAAGAGCATGTCTTTGGCACAAAAATCAAAGAATTTTTGAAATTCCGTTAAATTTAATGATTTTTTTGACAGGTGGTGAAAAACAATTTTAGTTTTTTTTTTTTTGGTGGTAAAATAAAACTTTGAGAAGTTTTGGTGGTAAAGAGCATATCCATCTCATCTAAAATTAAACAATTTTTAGATTTTTTTTTTTTTTTTTTTTTGTGGTAAAATAAAACTTTGAGAAAAGGCAAAAAGAAAAGGCATCACAAGACAATAACTCAACAAGTTACCATTTATATCTCCACATATATCTATAAATAAGCTCCCAATCAGTGAATAAACAAGCAACATACTAATTTTATCTCACAAAAATTGTTTTTAGGGAAGGTTATTTTTAGCAAGTTTAACTTTTTTTTTTCCTTCAATGGCAAGTAAAGTGTTAACAATGTTAACATGCACTGCTGCTTCAACTCCAGTGGCGAACCGGGCCTCAACAAGCCCATTACCATTTGGGTTGGGCCCACGTTCTGGGCTTTCGATGATACTATCACCAATTAAGACCCCTTCTTCAAGGCCTTCTTTGGTGGTGAGAGCCCAACAGACAGGAGGTCCAAAGAGAATTGAGCCAATGGTGACGTATATAGGTGAGATCTCCTTGATACATGTTAAAGACGTAGTATTTAATTTGTGTCATAATACTAGATATCATTCTTATTTCTTTTTTTTAATAAGATATCATTCTTATTACTTGTCCTTATTGCTCTTTAAACATTGGAAAAAAAAATACGGAGTACTAGATAATTTTCTAAATATGTATGTCATTTTTTCAACTAGCCATATTATACAAAAAAATTGTGTTTTTCTTCGTAAATCTATGTTATCATGCATTAACTAATGAGCGGTATTTAATACTATTTATGCTGAAAAAAAAAAATACTCTTACAATTTATTACTGTCTATCATACATTCATACGTGTAGTAATAAGTATATATAGATTATCCCTTCCTAGAAATAGTTGTCCAGGCTCTTTTCCTAAATTTGAAATAAATTAAGATTAGATTTCCAAACATACCGCCACAAATTAATCAATAATTCGTTTAATTTGCAGAGCGTACACCTTGTAATACTTCCGAGAATGAGGGCGAGATCAGGATGTGGTTTGACATGCCAGGGCTTGCAGCTGAAAACATAGAAGTGGAAGTTGTAGATGACTTGCTCATCATCTTAGGAAATGGGGATGTTGATGCATTTGGAAACAAGATTTTTGAACCTTATAATAATAGGGTTCAACTTCCCACTAATACTGTCAAGGAAGAAATTACAGCTGTGATTAAAAATGGTGTTCTCTATATTACTGTGCCTAAAATTACCAAGTCATCTGAGCCCAAAGTTCAACATATTCCCGTTAGATCCATTTAATAGTATTCATAATTACATTTATAAATTAAAAATTATAATTGGTTAGATTTGTTTGTCCATATCATCATTTGAAAAGGGTTAATATTAGAGAATTATAATTGGTTAAATTTGTTTGTCCATATCATCATTTTCATTTCCTTTTTCTTTTCTTATACAAAATTTTAAAAATCATCTTTGTTATTTTGGAAATTTTTATTATTATAATTATTTCCAAAATGTCTTATTTTGGAAATTCTTATTATTATTTTCAAAATGTCTTACACTCTTACTTTGGAAATTCTTATTATTATTTCCAAAATGATGTGGAAAAACTAACCAATCAATCACGCATAATAATGCATTATTAATCTATTATGGTGATTTTTTTTTTTTTGACACAATTATGGTGAATTTTTCAAAAGACCAATATAAATTTATCCTATAAAAATGGTGTGTAATAAGAAATGTACTTTGTATTACTTACTTTGTAATAAAAAGAAGCTCAACTTTCTACATTTTAATTTTGAAATATATTTTGTAAGCTGTATTATTACTCAGTTTGTTGTGTGTTGGACTCAGAGCCACTTATCAATTACTCCCTGTGTTCCTTTATTTTTACCCTATTTGACTTTGCATGGTATCCAAGACACGTATTAAAACGTTTATATCTCCATTTTTTTACGCGTAAAAATTATATAAATTTGAAATTAATTAAATTTATAAAGAGACGGATCAAACAAAATCCCACATGATTATATTTCATTTTGAAGAACAACAAGAATTTACGGTCAAAATTTTCAAAATTTAATCCATATTTTGACAATGGGGCAAAAAATTAGGAACGAAGGGAGTAATTCGTACGAAGTATATTATAAGACAAAGATGTTATGTGGTTAATTATTAAAGGAGACAATTAAAGCATACAGATTAGATCATATCAATTAAAATATATAGTTATAATTATGGTTGGTGAAACGATACTTGCACGTACTCGTAATTATGTATCCACAACAATTACAAAATGCACCTCACTTTACAACGAACACGTACAATTAATAACTTTATTCATGATTGAATTACAAGAAACGTGCACCAAACATGCATGGTTGCATACACCTAGGACTACATTAGAACCACAAGTCCACAAGCACAATCATCATATGGTTATTGGTTAATCTCATTTAAGGAAGCGAAGGGACATAGTGGTGAATCGACGGGGTTAATGAGATCGAGTTGAGACCGAGGGCACGAAGGGCCGGGGACTTAGCAGGCTAATCAAAGGACGTCGTAATTATGGCCGATGCCTAGCTTAGTTGGTGGTGAGAATAGTACATTAGTTCACAGCATAATAGGTATATATGGGGATGGCAACGGATCGGACACGAAGTGGATTCTGTTAAATCCGACTCCGACTCCGACTCCGACTCTATAGGAAGTCGGACGTTAAATCTGACTCCGAATCCGACTCCGACATCTGACTCCGAGATTCCGACTCCGATCCGACTTCAATATTCGGCCTCCGACTCCAATCCAACTCCGAGTTTTATTTCGGTTATTCAATATACTTTGAGAAATTAGGCTATTTGGGTCGTTGCAACCCACACCCATTGCCACCATGACCCACACCCAAATCCACGATATGATCCGTCGGAGTCGGATTTTTTTCATGGGTTTTTTGTAGGATCCGACTCCGACCCTCCTCCGACTCAGAGTCGGACTCGGATTACTTTTTTCTTAGACTCAGAGTGAATTTTTTTTCCTCGAATCAGGGCGAAGTAGGGTCAGATCCGGACTGAATTGTCATCTGTATATCTCATATTCTCATCCTATCATTTCTATATATGGCCTACGTACTGCTGCATTATTGCCTGGGATATTCAACTTTTTCCCCGTTGTTATCACATGTTCTTATTGTCTGCCATTAGCTGAGCACAGCACCTCCATGTATGATGTATCTGTTCATTGTATTTTTTTTTTTTTGACAAGAGCAAATGTATTCATAAAATCAGAGTTTACAATCTACAAAACAAGAACTAAAACTTAAAATATGGCTTTTAACACTAAAGCCTTTACAACAACTTTTTAGACTAGAGACGAAAGTAAGCTTGAATTGGCCGGATAATAAGTCACAGATTAGGGACTTCTTACAAACCAAGGAGCAAAAACATACTACACTCCAAGAAGAGGGCAACAGAGGGAGTCGAAACTGTTTGACCATGGCTAGCACTAACTTACTTGGCGGAATCTACTCATCACCAAGTAAGGTCATCAAACGGGTCACTAGAACTAGTGACCTTCCAATCAATAGCTTTCCTTGTTGGCAAGAAAGCTTTGACAACGTTGAGGCTCGAGAAACCCCAAAACAAAGTTTGGGCGCCTGCTTCAGATAATAAGGATCAGGAGTAATGACCACAAAAATCATTACATCCGAGGGAAGAGAAAACAAACTCATACCACTCCAACAACTTACACAATTCACCTTAGCCATAGCCAACTTCTTGTTCAAACCCCCAACAACCGCACCTGTAACCTCTCTTACCATTGTAAACACCCCACTGTCCTTAAAAAAGGGGCTTAACTCCCACTGCACACAACCATCCATAATACTATAGCCAAAACAACTAAATAGCCCGGAAAACAACCATCCTCTGAGGATTGCGAACGCATACTTTAATTAGGTGTAAATTATAGAAATATTAACTTTTATGTTTGTAAATAATGCATAACTTTTATCATTAGTAATTTTGTAATACCTTTTGTGAAAATGCAGAAAATTTTAAAATTTTATCCGATTAATCTATCTAGCAATATTTTATAGGAAAAGTTAGCCGCAACAACACCTAATAAAGGTGTGTGTAGCAGCACAACTTTTCGAGGGTACACTCAACATCACAAACTAAGCATTTGGGTGCACATAACAACATAAATGATATTGGCAAAACTTAGATTTCTTCATAAAGTGGAATCTTAAATATTTTTAATGCTTTTTTATTTATATATATTTTTGTTTAATTCCATTCTACTTAATTTTCCATCTCACGTAACTAAGTAGTCTTTTCTTCTATTAATTGTTTTACTTTAAACACTATTCAATTTTCACCATTAAATTGAATTATTTCAAAAAGTTTTCGCCATTATTTTCTATCGTTTATTTCTTCAATTACTTTTTTTACATCTCATGTGATTGATTTAGTTTCCTCTTCTATTATAATTAAATTTTTTTCCCTTTAAATTATTCTCTCTCAACCTTCACAATTAAAATGTTGTACATCAAAAACCAGAAAATCAATTTGGCCTATCTTAAAATTCAATTCTAAAATTGTTGTTTGAATTAAGTATTTTGAATCATTTTGCGGGGTTTTGTATTAGAAAGTTACTTATGTATGTATCCGAAAATCTGGTAGAATAAAGGTTTTCGAATGATTTTTATTTATTTATCAATTTAGTATTTGACTAAGTGGAGAGGGAAAGAAAACTTAGTCAATCATGTGAGATCAATATTAGAAAAAAGTAATTGAAGAATCGAATGAAGGAAAATAATAGCACAATTTTTTTGAAGGAATCTGCTTAGATGGTGGAGGTTAAGAAATGCTTAAATGAATAAATAAATAAATAAATAGAAGGGAAGGCTAATTTAGTCACGCATGATGGAAAATCAAGAAAGTTTAAAAAATGTTTAAATAATTATAAAATAATGAATATTCCACTTTTTTCCATGGAACCTTAGTTCATTAGTGTCATTTATGCTAATATGTGCACCCAATTACATAGTTTGTGCTGTGGACCGCACCCTTAAAAGGTTGTGATGCTACACGCACCTTTATCATAGTTGGTGTTATTGTGGCTAATTTTTTCTATTTTATATAATAACAGTTATTTAGGGAGTGTTAGTTATATTCATCCGATCTTCAACTCATATAACTATTTTCCAATGAATTGAATCATGATATAATCGTCTATAATTACATTTTATAGTGTACAAAAATCATGAACAATATCCCAAGTTTTCTATATATAATTCGACGTCTCTAGGTCAAATAAATGAACAATTGAGATTGCTTCTATAAAATTTATGGGCTCAGATTAAAAAAATAATTATAATGGCTATAAATTTAGGGTGTGTTCTATTCACCTGATTTTTATTTATCTGAACTTATTTGAACTTAACTGAACTTATCTTAACTTATCTGAACTTAATTGAACTTATCTGTAGTTATCTAAACTTATTAAAACTTATTTTAGTTGTAATTTGAACTTGGTTAACCCTTATTAGGACTTATTTTTCCTAAACTGAACTTATCTGAACCTAATTTTACTGAATTAAACTTATATGAACTTATTTGAACTTAACTGAACTTATTAGACCTGATATAAGTGAAAATAAGGTGAACAAAACGGGCCCTTAGTGTCTATTGAATAGTCTTCCTAAATATTAAATCAGCGAAAAAATTAGTATGTTACTCGTATATGATTTCATACTCTCATATGAATATAAGGGAATTTGATTTTGGCACATCCTGAATTGATATTGGCACGCCTTCTCACATAGGGTATGCCAAAATCAACTTATGGTGTACCAAAATCATTTCCCGAATACATGGTAGTTCAAACCAACTCCAAATTAAAATAACCATATCTTTAAAACATTAATAGAATGATTAAATTACTCAAACTAGTTCAACATAAACCTCATCGAGCATCATTACTCATTTCAGTCTCATAATTACCTATAGAAGAAATGAAAAACAAATAGTGAGCCACTTTTTAGTGAACATAATACTAGCAAGTCAAACATACTAGATGTTTATTTTGAAACATTATATTGTAGTAATTTTACTACGATGTATGTCACAAGAAATAAAGAGAATAAATACAATGATTAAACATTAGGACCTATTCTAATTTACCGAAAACAACTGAACTGAATTAAACTGAATTGATTGGAGTTGAACTGAATTGAAATGAAATGAATTGTTTATGAAATTAAGTTGAACAGAACAGATCCTTAGTTAAAACACCACATACATATACAAATTCTAAAGAACACACCCCTAGTATATTTCCAATCACACCAGACATCTCAGGGACCAACTCAACCCTTTATAGTTTGTTAGAGGATCAACTTAACTAAAATGTTAAGCTGATAGTTTGAGGCCCAAAAATATATTTTATACTCTATCACGGTCCAAAGGGCAAAACTATCTTTCTTCCCACACCATAATTTTTATATAGAAAAATGATATAGATATATAATGCAGCCTTATAAGAAGTTAAAAAAGTTATTAAGAAAAAGTAATTATTAACTGCACTGATAAGTGATAAGGCATATTTATCTTTTTTATTTTTCAGCGTAAAATTATTAACTTGCAAATAATAATTCGCATGTCAACAAAACATTCATTGTTTATATATGATACACACGTGATATGTGCACTTGAATCATATTCAATTCCTATAAATGGGGTTTTGGCATATAAAAAAGATAAAAGTATGTGGAATTGATGTCTTTACCACAAACTTAAGCAAAGTAACAAGGCATCTCCCAATTTCGCAACATAAAGACACGCAAAAAATTGAATTGTTTGGATTGGTAATATCGTATTAAACTGTTAATTAATTGATCGAGTTGGATACTCAAAAACAAGTACTCTGTATTAGGCGGATTTATAACAACTTATTATAATTAATGCATTAAGATTAAATTATATATCTGGAAAATGGAAAATATATATGCATTAAGATTTATAACAACTTATTATATATATATATATATATATATCATTTAAAATTTACAATAATTGATTTATCTCATCATGTAACATTGGCAATATCATTAATAAGTTGGAAATAATATATAACCAAGTACCATTAGTCATAAAAAAATTATTTAATTTAGCCTATTCGGTTTGGATTGATTCAATTTCACATATTTTGTACGAGTCTTTTTGCAAGGAGAAGCCTCCATGTTAGAAATGAGGCTTCCAATAGCAAAAAGAAAAAGCATCATAAGACAATAACTCAACAAGTTACCATTTATGCCTCCACATATATCTATAAATAAGCTCCCAATCAATGAATAAATAATTAACTTACTATATGTATCTCACAAAATTGTTAAATTTTAGTGAAGTTTATTTTTAGTAAGTTTAGGTTTTTTGATTCTTCGATGGCAAGTAAAGTGTTAACATGCTCTGCTGCTTCAACTCTAGTGTCGAGCCGGGCCTCGTCCAGCCCATTACCAATTGGGTTGGGCCCACTTTCTGGGCTTTCGGTGACACCATCACCGATTAAGACCCCTTTTTCAAGGCCTTCTTTGGTGGTGAAAGCCCAACAGTCAGGCCCAAGGAGAATTGAGCCTATGTCAGCTGAACAAATCCACAAGAAGGCTGCCCTACTTGAAACCACTCCTTATGGTAAATATTCAACCCCGTCTCCTTAAAGATGTAATCGTACTACAATAATAGATCACTTTCTAAAGTTGGTAAGTTAAATTTTTAACCATCCACATAGATGCATACATAGATTTCTCCAAATACGCGCTTTTCTTCATAAATATATGTTGTCACTTTAATTGAGAAATTGAGCGCAATATTTAATATTTATGCCAATAAATAATGTACTTGGAACTAAACAAGAAACTACCGCATTTTATCTCTGCCTACCATACATGTTGTAAGTATATAGATTAACTGTCTCTAGAAACAGTTCTTCAGGCTCTTTTCCTAAATATAGAATAGATTACGATTAGATTTTCAAACATACCCACACATAATCAGTGATTCGTGTGCAGTGCGTACACCTTGGAATACTTCTGAGGATGAGCACGAGATCAAGATGTGGTTTGACTTGCCAGGGCTTGCAGCTGAAAACATAGATGTGGAAGTTATAGATGACTTGCTCGTCATCAAAGGAGAAGGGGGTATTGATGCATTTGGAAACAAGATTTTTGGTCCCTATGATAGTAGCGTTCAACTTCCTATTAACACTTGGAAGGAAGAAACTACCGCTGTGTTTAAGAATGGTGTTCTCTACATTACTGTGCCCAAGATTACCAAGTTTGAGCACAAAGTTATTCCTATTCCAGTTAGATCCATTTAAAATTATTCATAATTAACTTATTGCTTGTGAAATAAATCTTCTAATAATAAACTTTGTGGAAGACATATATACATATAAATGGTGTGTAATAGGTAAGAGCTATACTTTGTATTATTACTTTGTAATTTAGAAAGGAGCTCAAACACTTTCTACATACATTTGAAATGTATTTTGTAACTTAAGTTGTATGACTCAGCTCGTTGTTTGTTGGACTTGATCGAGCCACATACTATAATAAAACAAAGGATGTTTTGTGGTTATTAGACGTGACAATAATCGAGTCGTTCAAATCAGGTCAATTTGACCGAGTATGATTATAATAGTTGGTGAAACCGGCCAATATTTGCACATACAACGACTTCATTTCATGATTTAAATTACGAATGCATCTCACTCAAACCACATACGTACGACTTTATTTGATGATTAAATTACAAGAAACATGCATAGTTGCATACACTTAGGACTAGGGGTGAATACCGGTTCAGATCCAGATCGGACCGGACCTAAAACGCATTGAACTTGAACCGGTTTACGGTGATCGATAATAGACCTGAATCTGCCGGTCTGGTTTTGGTCCAGACCTGAAAAATTAGGTCCGGTCCAGGTTTAAACCTGTTTAGACCGGTTTGCTTTTCTTTCTTTATAAAGGCCTATTTTGGACCTGTTTATGGACCTATTTCGGGACCTTCTTTTGGACAAACTTTTTAGTCCAAAACATAGTTATTTACTTATTATATACATCAAAACATAGTATAAAGCATATTTAACAAGTTACATAAAGTCCAAAATAGATTATATTAGATTGTATGCTTGACCCCTTATCTCCCGTCAATCACACGCTTCAAACGAATCAAACCAACGAGTGTACAAAAATGACTTCATTGTCTACATCACCACATTGCACATCTAAATCAAAACGAAAATAGATTATATTAGATTGTATTAATAATTAATAAGTAATAATAAAAAAAATAAGTAAAAGTGCTAAATAACATAACTACCTTTCTCGATTTCCTCTAACTCTTTCAAAGTTTCCTCCACATCAATAATTAGCAATCCCTTTGCTCTTAACCAATCTTGTGAACAAATAAGGGCTTGAACCATCTTAATACAAAGACAACATTAATTAATAAGTAATAATAAAAATATATGAAACAATCACACGCAAGTACGCAACATTGACGAACTAGCCAACTTCCACTCTCCAATCCTCCAATAGTCCAATCTACTTCACTATATATACTCTTTTATAATTTATGTATTAAATATTTGGATGCATAACAAAAGCAGTTTATTGAGCTGCTGCATGAATAGCTAGTGCCTGAATCGCTAGTGCCTGAATCAGAATTTTGGATACTAACAAAATCGAAGTTTATACAACTAAATTTCCACATAAAATTGATTATGAGGCATTGTCAATAATCTACATAACTAATAAAAAGTGTTTAGTAAGTAGCGATAGTCAAATCGAGGGAAATTTTGAGAATATTATTTGTATCCAGAAAACAAAAGTGATTACCATATAGTGCAGCAACTGAAGCTCACTGGCATAATAACCTCAGTGGCAGCAGCTTGCTTAATATTAGCGCTAAAAGTCCTCATTATTATAACAATCCAATACTATATGTTAATGAGAAATAAAAATCATTGTTATGATAGTAATTTACAGCTTCTAGTAATGTAGATATATCAGTTAACTAAATTAGGCATCTGAAGTCTAATTCAACACAAAAAGCAGAATATTACTACATAAAACAATTAGCTTCAAGATGTACTTAGATCTCGTGATAAGGCTATTTGACATAATGAATGACTAAGGAATTATCTTGATCTTAGTTCAAGCAAATGCAACCCCAATTTTCCAAAAAATTATGTCCCGTTTTTTATGCAATATGTTCCATTGCTCTCATACAATCCTGTTAATCATGCTATAGTTCCTAAGTCTCAAATTCCTAATTAGTAATCACTAAGCACAACAGGAAAGAAAATGGATGAAAACTTGAAAAGTGAGCACAACTTTAAACATATTGATGTGAAGTGATCCTAATGAGATCTTGGCAAAACGTCGGTTAAACATGAAATCCACCTAGGACTATTGATCAGCTCTAGCTTTAATCATTAGTAACTATAATCTACTCACGGAATATCAACACATTGTCATATTCGAGCAAAGAATTTTGCAAGAATAGTCATCAACAAGGTAACAAAACAGAACCTGATAATAATAACAAAACGGAACCTGATAACAAAACATAATTTTACCTTAGGTGTTAGAGAGCTCCTAAATGGATCTAGAGTACGACTTCCCGTACTAAAAGCGGATTCAGACGCAACTGTAGACAGTGGGACTGCTAGGATGTCACGTGCCATGCACTTAAGAACCGGATAGCGATGACCATTAATAACCCATCAAGTTTATGCATCTAGTTCTTCTTCCTCCAGCCCTATGCGTTCATGTAAGAACCTATCGAACTCGTTCATCACATACCCACTTGTCCCCTCTAATCTTTTTGCCACTTCTCTAAGGTTTTTCATGTAATCGGCACCCCCTTCTATACCAAAGGCACTATCATCACCAACATCAAAATCAACATCGAACATCTATTGGCATCGAATCTCCTTGTTGGTTACTTTTAGAAATAGAAGAAGTGTACATGTTTCTATATTCATCAAATAAAGTGTAAGTGAATTCCTTCACCTCATTGGCAAGTTTCGAACCCTTTTCTTTTCCATGCATATCAATTAGTGTCAATTCAACAAGTATGAACTTGCAATGAGGGTCAAGAATAGAAGCAACATAAATAAGCTTGTTCATTTTATTCACATTCCCCCAATACTTATCAAGCTTTTGTTTCATTGCAATAGCCATAGCTTGAAAGTTCAAATCCCCACTTTTCTCCCACTTATTCAGCATATTTTACATGGAAGCAATCTCACTCAAACCTCTATTACTTGTCACATAATGAGAGCCAAAGATACGTTTAGTCAAAACATAGAACCCCTTCAAAAACAAAGTCAATCTCTGTACTTTTTTCCAATCTTCTTCTTCGGGAGGTCTTTCATTAATTATCATTCAAATCCTCTCCATCAGGAAGAGATAACCCACTAAAAACACGCTGAAATTTCAAAGTTGTGTCCAACATTGTGAATGTAGAATTCCAACCAGTGGGGACATCAAAAGACAAGGAAGCTTTGGAATCTATATTTGCTTTTTGCACAAGATCTTTGAACCTAGATATTCTAGCGGGAGAGTTTTTCACATATTTCACGGCATTTCAAACTCTATCAATACACACACCGTGTTGTTTATTCCATCCCACACAATTAGATTAATGATATGAGCAATGCATCTAACATGAAGATTTTTTCCATCATTAATACATCCGATTCTTCTAACCATTCTACTTAAGTGCATACAAGCAACATCATTTGAAAAGGCATTATCAACAGTGACAGTAAAAAGCTTATCCTCAATACCCCAATGCTCTAAACATGCCTCGACGGCTTTTCCAATAGCCTCTCCTTTGTGACTTGATATTGGACAAAAATTGATTATCTTATTATGCAATTTTCACTCACTATCAATAAAATGAGCCGTAAGACACATATAATTGATTCGTTGTATTGAGGTCACAGAAATTCTTTGACAAGTTTTAAACATTTCTCTCAATCTTTCTTTCTCACTATAGTAGAGCTTTAAACAATCACGAGCAATGGTCACACGAGAGCTAAGGGAATAGTAAATTGTGGACATGCAACTTGCATTAAGTGCTTAAAACATGGCTTCTCTACATGTTTAAATGGTAACTCATCAACAATAATCATGTAAATCAATGCTTCCCCAATCTCTTTTAAGTTAACATTCCCAAATTTGCCACTATCATTTTCTGTATTAAAAAACAATTTAGTTTGTTTTTCTTTGCCCTTATTTACATTGGTAGGATTACTAAGACATGATTATGCATTTTTTTAATATTTTTTTGAACCATTAAAGTTTCCATCAGCAGCATAGGTTTTGTCACAGTACTTACATTCGGCTCGCAGTCTCCCGCCTTCAACATACTCAATGAAATAATCTTCCCAATAAGGTTTTGTCCTCTTATTCTTTCTATTAAGTAGATATTCCCGCCCCACATTTAACTTCTTACCCGAAGGCAAAGTAGCATACAATTCTTCTACATCCACTTCACTAAGTGATTGTGCCGTGTTTATTTTGAGAATAAGTGGGCGTTCGTTTGGATTGGGAGCTCTCCATCTACATTTAAAAGAGATGAAACAATTAATCTTTCGGGCATAAACAAAAAGGAAGGTTAGGGCAGGGAAGATGTGAATTTACAATCAGGTTGTAAATTAACAGAGTACCATTTCTAACAGAGTAAACATTAACAAATATCTCAGTACGATTAGGTTCATGCTCATTATCAGTGTCATAAACTCATAATACGAAAGCGTAACAACCTTATAATCATCACTAACTGAATTACCCAAGTCCATACATAGTAAAACTAGAGCTTAGTAGCAAATGTGGTAATTTCGTCGAACAGGTGGTGGGCATTATTCAAGTGGGTAGAATACAAGAAATGGGATTCCTCTGAAACAAGGATTAGTTAGGCTTCATAGTCCAAGCAAGAATTTTAGATAATACGAACAAGACTGTAATTCCAAAATCAAAGGAATTGAAAAAACAAAAATCGAGAATTAAAGCAATTGAAAAATCATAAACCCACAGATTCAAAGGAACCCTACAATCCATACAAATACACTCAAAACATGTAATACAATTCAAAAAATCAACATGCAAACATCAACCAAGTAAATAATCATCAATGATTGAGAAATACTGGATTGAAACTTTGAGAAATTGAGAAAGTATAAAAAAACGAACGGAAAAAAAAACTCTAACTATGAATGAGGAGTCGCCGGTGAGAGAGAGAATTGATTTCGGTGAGAGAATCGCCGGGGAGAGAGAGAATCGAACTTAGGGGCCGTTTGGTTCGCCTAGGGGAATCGGAATGGAATGAACAAAGGGAAAGTAGGAGAATGGAATGAAACCCTTTCCAACTAGTATGTTGTTTGTTTTCAAAAAAACAAAGGGAATCACCACCACCACCGCACAACCCCCTTTCTTCACTTTTCCAGCCACCACGAGCCACCCCACCGCCCAGCCACAACCTCGACGGGAATCTTCATCCCTCGGCGCACCTCCCCCTCCCCTCGCCGTCCCTCCCCTCCCCGGAAAATCGTCCACCACCCACGCAAAAATCCCGGAAAAGTGTCCACCACCCACGCAACAACCCTAGAAACACTATCCCTCCCCCGAAAAACGTCGGCCGACCTTCCCCATATCCTCAAAACCCTAGCGGGCTAGTCGGCCGACGTTTTTCGGAGGAGGGATAGTGTTTCTAGGGTTGTTGCGTGGGTGGTGGACGATTTTCCGGGTAGAGGAGGTATTTTTGCGGGGAGAGGTGGGGGAGGTGCGCGGTCTCCGGCGAGATGTGGGGGGAAGCGCGGCGGGCTCTGGCGATGAGACTGGGTCAGCGGCGAGGTGGTTGGGCAACTTCCGGCTAGTAGACGGTGGTGGGTATGGTGGCTAGGGAAAGGGAATGGGAAAGTCTAGGGGGGGTGGGGAATCAATGTAGACTAAAAATGGGTGAACTCAAAAATAAAAATGGGTAAAGGGAATCAAAAAAGTGACAAACAAACAACAACAAAGGGAATGATATCAGTTCATTCCGATTCCCTTTGATTATTAACCCCAACCAAACGGCCCCTTAGGGTGTTTTTTAGGGGAAAGGTTCAATTTTTTGAAGAGTTTAACTTTTCGTTTCCTAATTATACCCAAATAATAATAATAATAACCGGTTTTTCGGTCCGGACATTTTTAAGGACCGAGAATAAACCTGAATCTACCGGTCTGAGGTATTTTATGTACACCCCTACTTAGGACTACATTAAAACCACCAGGCTAGCGCAATTGCACAATCATACGGTGATTAATCTTACCGAGCCATGTTGAGATTTATTTGGAGACGGGTTTGAGGTTCAAAAACATGTCATTTAAGGAAGCGAAGGGACAAAGTGGTGAATCGCCAGGTTTAAGACCGAAGACACGAAGGGTCGGGGACTTAGGGTTCCAAACGTATTTGTCGTAGTGACATATCCAGCTTTTTCACCTTTTTTTTATCATCACATAATCTTGTCTTCCATTAGGTACCTCCATGTTTCTGTTCAATTTTTACCACAACTTCATTCGTCCCCAATTCTCGTACCACAAAGTCAACAACATCCTCTATGGATTGCGCACACAAGTATTGTCATTCAAATGCGCGTAATTTGGTATTAATTGTTTGAAAACATTAAAGAAATGTACAACTTTGATCATTAATTATTTAATACTTATTAGGATTGTTACTCTATTAGTACAAAAATTATAAAATTTTGATATTATAAAAAATAACGTGATTAATCTATCTAACTATATTTTACATAATAACAGTCAATTACTACATAGTTTATAACACTTTAATTTAGGGGAAAAAAAACTATAGCTGAAATTAATACTAGTACAAAGTACATACATATATACGAAGTATATATTTACATGGAAATGATTTTGTTCGAGAAAATGGAACATTACCTGTTTTCTTCAGTACCCTTTGGTTTTTTAAAACATAGGTTGAGGGTGTCTTTTTTATCAGTTGTATCTTCAAAACCGATTTAATGGAAAACAAAAAGAGTATATCTGTGAAGTTTTCGGCGAAAGGGAACAAAAGAAAATGAATAACTAACAAAGCCACAAATGGTAGTACTACGTAATCCGTATTATACATAATTAGAAAGATCAATGTTATAACAGACGCAAGACTATTAAAGAAAACAACAAACAAGTAAGAGTACATATTTTATGTGGATCACTTACGATAGTTAGCTACGTCCACAAAGAAATGAGTGGGGAGTTTTGTTGATCTTGAGGAAAGTACAAGATACATAATAGTGTTTAGTTAAAGTGTTAAACCCTAAGGAATTATATATAGTACTCCCAATACCTAAAATGGAATAGGCTCAAAAATGAACCTAAGCTAAAACCTGAAAAACGAGCTTACATAGTCGTTCGAAAGGGGCTAATTAGGTAATTCAAGACATTTATATTCTAACAATCAATAATGAAAATGGAAAGTATTAAGGTCGATATAAAAATCGAGAAGGGAGGAAAAATCAAATAGTAGAAATTCCATTCTCTTTATTTACTCAATGTTTTCCCCCTGTTGACGCAAATCACGTATGTAACTCTTTGAAAAGTAAATATATAAACATTGTAAGTACTCATAATAAAGTAAATCTGTACGTACTAATATTTGTCTTATCTTTTAATAACTTGTACTGTGTCTGCATCTTTTTGCTAGGAGAAGCCGCACTACTTTGCTTTAATTTGAGTAAAGAGAATATCAATGTTATGATTACAAGCTTCTCCTACAAAAAAGACTAAAACTTAGCAAAGTAAAATTAAATTACCTCCATTTATAGCTATAAATAACCTCCCAATGATTGAACAATACATACAACAACTTGCAATATTTATTTAGTTCTATTACATTATTGTTTTAGTGATTTAATCATTTTAGTAAGTTTTATTTGATTTTCTTCAATTATGGCAAGCAATACATTGACATGTTCTGCTGCTGCCACTATGGTGTCAAACCACACGGTCTCCGGCCGCAGCCCGGCCCTAGCTGGGGTCGGCCAACGTTCCATGGTGTCCCTAGCACCATCGTCGAAGACCCCTTCGATGGTGGTGAGAGCCCAACAAGGATGAAGTCCTAAGAAGTTGGAACCCATAGCAGCTGATCAATTCCACAAAAAGGTTGCTCTCCTTGAAACTTCTCCTTATGGTAAGTATTCCACTCCTAACAATTGCCTTTTTTTTTATTTTTCTTATTTACCAAAAAAAAGGTTCTTGCATTTCTAGTATCTAGTTTTGGGTAAAACGTACATACATGAATCTTTTATGGGTTGTAAACTTGTAACATCATATTTTGTACATGTCATATATAATTAGGGTTATATGATTTTCTTTTATTTTATTAATTTATTTATTTATAATACATGATTAGGGTATTCCGTAATATGATTTGAGTAAATGAGATACGAGTCAGTCTTGTCAATTCTATCTAACGTTAGTGATAGTGCATTTTATAATACAAGTAAAAGAAATAAGGTTCAATTGACCTCACTTATTGAGTTATTGCTAAATTGCCTATTACAAACCATAACGTAGATACTTGTTGATTTGCAGTGCGCACTCCCTGGAACACGAGCGAGGATGATCACGAGATTAGGATGTGGTTCGACATGCCAGGACTTGCAGCTGAAAACATCGATGTGAACGTGGTCGACGACTTGCTTGTGATCAAGGGAGATGGTGGAGTTGATGCATTTGGAAACAAGATATATAGTCCTTACGATAGCAGGGTTCAACTCCCTCTTAACTCTTGGAAGGAAGAGATCACGGCCGTGTTTAAGAATGGTGTTCTCTACATAACTGTGCCTAAGATCACCAAATTCGAGCACAAAATTATCCATGTTCCAGTTAGATCCGTTTAAATCTCTTAATAAATATCTACTTTAGTGTCTTCTATATATAGTACAGTACTCTATATATGGAAGACTGAATTATATACTTCGTATTATGAGTGTGTTTTAAGAGCTTTTCTTTGAGATGCTATGTAATAGAGAAGCTCTCTTAAGTATCCATTTCAATTCCTTTCAATGTTTAAAGTTGTACTTTGTATGACTTATTAAAGTATTCTAATATAATAAGACATTAATTAATATAATTAATTATTTAAAAGTATATATATGTGTTGTGACTCTGGTAATATGTGAGCCATTATTTCCTTTCTGGAGGTATTGATATTTTTGAAATTAGAGTTATTCCTAATAATTACAAGTATAAAAGTTGATAATCTTTAAGTGTCTTGTGCATTAGCACCTGTGCAATCTACGGAGTAATTTGTTATTATAGAGATAATGATCAAGCTAAGTTATATATTACATGCTCATATTAGTATATATATTACCCTTGAATAACCCTTTTAAAGATGATTCTAAAGATCTATCAGAAATTATATTTGACTTAAAAAACAACAGCAAATTAAGAAAAACGAAATATTATTGGAAATATATATACTTTTGGATTATAAACTTGTAGTATTTGATGGATTACAGATAGATCCAAAAAAAAGTTTATACGGAGTACTTTTTAGGTGTCCTCGCTAAAGGTTGACTTTTGGTTTTCAAGATATATGAGAAATTAGGAAAATCTTCTTTCAAATTAAAGCTAATCCATAACTTATTTAGAATCAAGCACAAAAATAAAAAAAAAATAAAAAATAGAAAACATAGAAAATATTATATGTAGTACTATCTAATAAGTTTCAATAATATCTTAATGGTTTTGATGAGTGTGAGACCGGCAGAAGCTTAATTACCATAGCAAATTGCTTCACTATTTACAAGCATGCCAAGAATCCAACGACCTAAAATGCTAAAGAAAGGTACATATATCCTCCATAAGTAATAATACTCTTGCCTTCATTGGCTTTGAATAATAAACTCGTGGCCAAAAGGTGTTAGGAATGGGAGAGAAACAAATTAAAGAGCAGATAAAGGTCGGATAACATAGCCAAGTGAGGTTTATTTCATCCTAACACCGATTGATAGTAGGAGAAACAATCCACTTAAAATTAGACCTGGCAAATGGGTCATTTAGGTCGGGATTGAGTCGGGTCACTTTCGGGTCAGGTCATTTTGGGTCAGCTAACATTCGGGTCAGGTCGGGTCGATTCGGGTTTCGAGTCGAGTTAATTTCGGGTCAAGTATGTTCGGGTCATATTCGAGTCAGGTCAAAATCTGGTCGGGTCATGTTCGGGTTGTTTCATTTGTGAATCAAGCTCAAATGAATAATTTTGTACGGAGTAT